ACCAACCAGTTGATGAGGTGATTGATAAAAACATAATTGAGAATAAAGGTGAAAAACATTTTTCAAAAGCCAAGTAGCGAAGTGAAGTTTTGTTAAAATACAGAAAATGTCAGTGAATTTTATTTATTTTTCTGGTTGAGCAAGCAATTCGCTCGGTGTAATTTGGACAGGCTCAGATTGAGATTTTGTCAAAACTCAAAATTTGAGTAGGCGTGGCCCAAAGGCCCGACATCGTGTAAAATGCTAATTCGGGTCAAACCCAAGCAACTTCCGGCCTTCCTCCAAGAGGAGAAAAGGCTAAAAACAATACTGCTTAGATTATTTATACAAGTATAGTTTTCCAGTTTTCCTAGATTTTGGTCAAATACTAAGACCTCCCCTCTGGTTTTTCTAGTTCATTTACTCACCCCTGTAATTTGAGATTCGTTTACGTATTCCACCCCTCAACTAACATGCCGTCAATTTTAGTGACAAAAATTGTTTATTTGGCATTTAACACTTTTCAAAAATCCATTTTATCCTTTGACACCCTTTGTATGTTATATCGATAAAAATACTCTTGTATGTACTTTTTTTTTTTTTGGAGGGACAACTTTTATTCTCATGATGTTAAAAATACTCTTATATTTAGTATTCAAAAATGAGGTATCTTTTATTAGTGTCAAAAAGATATTTTTATAGGCAAAATAATTTTTTATTATTAAGGGAATTTTGATAAAATAGCATTTTTTATTAATTCCTCTTCCTTTCACAGATCCTTTGTAGTTCGGTAGTCAGAAGGGGTACAAGTTTAGGTAAATCTCAAGATGGTATAAAATCCCATAGAATGCATTAGCAGGGGAATCCCGTCGCACATTGTGAATCCCCATGAATTTAACATAAATGTTTGGGAGATATTCTCAATGTGTGAATATGCTATGTAATCAGAATTTTTGCTTGCAGGAGATCAGACTTGCGTAAAACTGTGATGTGCATAAACAAATTCTGTGCATTCATAGTTTTTTGCTTTTAAGATAATCTAGGCTCATCCACCCACACATTGCTAACATCTTCCCATGATTTTAAGATACATGAATAGGAGATATTCACAATGTGCAGATGGATTCAAGCATTCTCAATGATATGGGCTCGTGTGGTAATGGGTCTCTTTAAAGCAAAAGCCCTATAAATATTTAACAAGTATGAACATTCAACCACACATTGGGAATATTTCCTCATGAATTTAAGATACATGTGTACAAGTTTGATTTTTGTTTCTTCATGTGTGCATGTGGAGTTATCCTTTTTCCTGTTCCATCAAATAGGATTGTTCATTAAACCAATGAAAACAACCTAACCGACCAACCTGACCCAACTCAACTTGAGTCAGGTGGTTTTACATTATTTTCGATCGGCTTTGATTTAGGAATTATGCTAACTCAAGAGGTCGGTCGGTTTTGGTTTGACTGTGTGTAAACTGACCAAAACCAACCTGACTTGACCATTGATATATACTAATATTATATATTTTAAATTTAAATTTTTTATATGGAAAAGTGGAAAATTTCTAATATTTTATATTGTAAATTTTATTTTTTAATAATATTGCTGCAACTTTTTTTAATTTGAATATAATTTCTTAAATTTAAATCTTTTGAACCAACCAACCAAACCGATACAACCCGAGCTGTCTTGTTTCTACTAAAGGTTAATCGTTTTAGGTGACCAATTTCCCAATCTAACTAGGTCAGTTTAGTTGGCTAAAAACTTGCGACCGAACCAAATCGACCCTTGAACACCCCTACCACCAAAAAATAAATTCATTCCTAAACCCAATCCACAAGTTTTTTGTATTGGGCCTGCGTTTTGAATCCAAGCCCAATCTGAACCCTTTAACATGTATAAGTGATTTATCCAAAGAGTCATTTTTTAATTTTTAGGATGATTTTTTGATAGAGATGGAAATTTCTACCCTACCCGTGGGTACTCACCACTACATGCCCGACTAGGGAGGGTTTTCCCTTGAAAAATGGATTTTGGGGTGAGGATGGACTTTAGGATTTTCACAACCCGCACGGGTACGTATGGATGCAAACCAATCAGATCATATTTGAACCAGGGTACATTCAAAGCCAACCTGATACTATAAATTGTAGATCTAATCCAAAGATTCGGTCGGACCTCACAAATATGGATTTAAATCTGTATCTATCAAGGAGGTTAGATATTCGAATATGATCCGATTTGATTTAATTTTTTTAAAAAATTAATATATTATTAAAAGGAAAAAATTTTAATAGTTAGGGTCTAATTTCAAATTGGATCAAATCATGATCTGGTCCATTTGCACCCTTAGAGGCACGGGTAGAGTACAATATTAGGCAAAATTTGACCCTCCCAACTTGCATACTGTTGGAATTAGACCTAGTAATTGGGTTGGGTAGGTCGGTTCGGGTTGGGTCAAGATACTTCAGGTTGATTTCATATGGGGTTATCAAATGCTAAACCCTAACCCTAAATGTTCGGGTTATGGTTGACCCATGAGTCAATTCGGGTCATCCCAAAAAATAACTGAAATTTAAAAAAAAATAAGAAAAAGTACATGAAAAAGGCCAAAATTAAAGAAATTAACCTTAAAATTCCAAATGTAAAAATAAAAAAACTTGAACATTTAACAATTTAAAGAGTAAAGACTAAATAGGAAAAGTTAAAAAGTGGAAACTTCTAACAATGAATAAATAGTCCCAATTAGACTTGACGATTGGGTCAACGAGTTGACCCATGACCCAACCCAACCCAGTTTTTTCTGGGTCAAGTCGGGTTGGGTCAATTGGGTCATTCTCACATTCAGGTAGCTAAATATGAAACCCCTAACCCTGTTTTTTCGAGTTGGGTTGGGTCGGGCTCGTAGGTTGGGTCAACTTTTTGCCAAGTCTAGTTGAAATACATAAACCTATGCACTAAGTGTTAAATATATGATATTTTGTTGCAACAAAAAATATAATAATATTTTAAATTTTATGTGAAGGAGATAGTTTACACGATTTTAACTATTTTATCAAATAATAGAAAATTAAATACAGGTCCTGCAGCTAACCCGACAATCTGTTCCACCCCACCCTCAAATGAGGAAAGGATAAATTCTAGGAGGGTATCTTGTATTGGTGTTTGTAAGGCTTTGCCACGTGTTATACTTAATGAATCCTACTTTTTACCCAAAAAAACTCATGTTTTGAGAAGAATATAGTTTTTTTTCTTTACATGGAGGTAATTAAGGATCTAGAATTTATAAAAGAGAAAGTTCCCAATTAGCATCTGTACTTTGGGCCTAGTGCCACTTTGGTCCCCAAACTTTAAAATGTGGCTATTCAGTACCTAAACTTTCAAATCGTGCCAATCCAATACTTGTAGATAATTAAGTGGCATTTGAAAAGACACAAATGCCTTTCGAGTGTCATCTAATTTTCTTTATCAACCATCCAAACGTTTGTTAAAAAATGAACAATCCCAAATCCTTGTCTCTTCTATTCAAGAAAGTTGTGATCAATAAAATGCCCACTCCACTAAAATGTGACACCAACTTTCTTGAATAGAAGTGGCAAGGATTTGAGATTGTTCATTTTTTATCAATGTTTGGATGGTTGATAAAGAAAGTTAAATGACACTCGAACGGCATTTATGTCTTTTCAAATGCCACTTAATGGTTGGTTATTAGGTTAGTTAACGATAGATAATGTACAAGTTATGCTATTGAGAAATGAAAGTTTATCCTCTTTTGGCAAAAAAAAGGGGTTGAGGTACTAAATTGTCATGATTTAAAGTGTGGAGAGCAAAGTTTAACTTAACGCTTTGACTGTTTAGCAGACCGTGGAACTAATGATAAGGCTCCATTACAATAATAAAATACATGGGGCCCATACTTTTCATAAATGAGGTCAAATTCCCAATTAGTATCCTGTACTTTGGCTCCTCGAACTTTAAAATGCAACAATCCAATACCCAAACTTTAAAATGCGATAATTCAGTATTTGAACTTTCAAATGTGACAATCCAATATCTGCCGTTAACCAATCCGTTAATTAGCCATTAAGTGACATTTGAAAAGTTAAAAATGCCCCAAGAATGTCATCTAATTCTCTTTATCAACGATCCAAACGTTGACAAAAAAACTGAACAGTTCAAAATCTCCTAGCCTCTTCTATTCAAAAAAGTTTGTGCCTGTTTAGAAGAATCTAGAATTTGGGACTATTCATTTTATTGTCAATGTTTGAATGTTGATAAAGAGAATTAGATGACATTCTTAAAGCATTTTTAACTTTTCAAATGTCACTTAACAGATTGATTAACGGAAGGTGTTGGATTGTTACATTTTAAAAGTTCGAGTACTAAATTATAGCATTTTAAAATTTGAGAACCAAATTATCACTTTAACCAAAATACAGGATACTAAACAGAAATTTTCCCATAAATTTATTACTGGCGTGAAACTTGATCGCTGGGTTAAGGACCAAAGTGGCACTTAGAGAGGGAATACTAATCGGGATTTTTTCCTTTACAAAACTAAAACTAACCCCGTTGCTATCCTGCTTTTGGTTGTCGTCGTAGTCGGATCACATTGGGATAGATACGGTAAAGTATCAAGTATGAATTGGAAATGGATACGTTTCCGTTTGTTATGTTAGATGAGTTTATCTTTATGTACTCAACGTCACTCATAAATCTTCACTTAAAAGAGATAGAGAGGTAGCTGCGTAACATCTCAACCAAATAATAGTAACACATTAGCATCTCAATTTTCATCCCATGTGCTGCTACCTGCTTAATGCGACTTCACATCTGCGCCCCACAACGTCTTATAGTACATATTCACCGTGTATTGAGAACATCTTTCGATGATATATGAGAATAGATGATGTGAACATCGGGAGATGTTCCCAATACACGGCCTCGCAGATCTGAACTCGCTAAATGCTAAAATCCGGAAGGAAGGATAGAGAAAACTCCGAGTCCGGAGGCTGTTTCTAGAAGCTTCCACACCCTTCCCTCCAGGCTCCGGACAAATCTCGTCTGGCTCTCTTTCTATTACCGTCCCTGTTACAAACAATCCCACCCAACGCCGCCACCGGAACGTCTGTTCTTCCACCACCAATTCAAGCTACTCAAAACCCGAATAACGCATTAGTATTTAGTAGTATCATCACCAATCAATCAGAAGAAGAAGAAGAAAGAACACAGTAGCGGAAGATATGGGCGTCGATTATTACAAGATCTTACAGGTCGATAAAAACGCCAACGACGATGATCTTAAGAAAGCATACAGGAAGCTTGCTATGAAGTGGCACCCTGATAAAAATCCCAACAACAAAAAAGAAGCCGAAGCCAAGTTCAAGCAGATCTCTGAAGCCTATGATGTCAGTATTACCTTTCTATTCTCTCTGTTTTCCATACATGTATAAAACTATGCATCTGTTCAGAACCTCATATTTGCTCATGGATTTCTTTGCTTTACCTCTATAGGGCTGATCATCCCAAACTCTTTCATTTTTTTCTAGACACCCAACCAAACTCTTTCAAGTTTATACCTTTTTACTTCTTATACAAATCTCACATTTCCGATTATCCTAAAACTCCCATCTTTTGATCTGGGTTCCTTTGCTTTATTCAAACTTTTTAATATTCAAGTGCCTGATTTCTTTTTCTCGTGAATATACTTAGGTTCTCAGTGATACCCAGAAGAGAGCTATCTATGACCAATATGGCGAGGAGGGACTTAAAGGGCAAGTTCCTCCACCCGGTGGGGCTTCCTTCTTCCAAAGCGGAGATGGCCCGAATGTGTTCAGATTCACTTCTAGAAGTGCAAACGACATTTTTGCGGAGTTCTTCGGCTCCTCGAGACCGTTCGGAGGCATGGGAGGAGGCGGAGCTATGAAAGGCGGTTCGAGGTTCCCTGGTGGTGGTGGTGGTTATTTTGGGGACGATATATTTGGGTCGTTCAGGGAGAGCTCCATGAATCAGGCTCCCCGTAAGGCTGCTCCAATAGAGAATCACTTGCCATGTAGCCTTGAGGAGCTTTATAAGGGAACTACCAAGAAAATGAAGATCTCAAGAGAGATCACCGACATAAGTGGGTGAGTACTCCGTCATTCATCTCATTTTTTACATCCATTTTTCTTGATCCAATCGATGTTTGCTCATATCTCATTTGACGCATTTGCTTTTGTTTCTATGATCCATTTAGAAGTTGTTAGGATCCTTGGTTCTTGACTCACCTTGGTTCTCGACTCACCTGAATGATGGTTTCTGTTTACTTGTCCATTAATACCTTGACATATTTATGCCATATTTCGTCCTCAGCCATTACAATAATGAATAACCCCATCCAAAATCAGTCTTGTCCAACATTTGGTTGAAGCTGCGATAATGCTGGTTTGAAGTCTTAATCAGGCCCCTATAATGTCTTCAGTCAGAAATTCATTAAATTTATCTCTTTATGACAGATGTTAATGCTGCTTAGAAGAAGATGCAGTCTGATTGTCATCATTAGCAGCCTTGTCCATCAGTTTCTAGAATTTAGCCTATTCATTGGCTTCAGCAATGGAGTTTTTCACCTTCTTAGCTAGCCCAGATAGGTTCAGCTCAATATTCTTAGAAACTTTCTTCTTCTGTTCCTTCCACATTACATTCAGGCATAGTTTTCTGTAGTTCTCTGGTGATTTATCACTGTTGAAGATAAGCTAAAGTTCAGTTTCTGATATTAGCATGAAAGATTGTTGCGGTCTAAGTTTATGTTTGGAAGCATTAAAATATCAAATTTTGCATCTCATTTGGTATCACCTCTTCCTTGGATAAAATACTAGAGTCTATGGACATAGAAACCAATTTTTGGATAAGTAACCCGCTTTGATACATTCTGTCATTTTCTATTCCCACCAATTTAAACACGTTGGAAACACTGCTGAGGTGATACAAGGTCATCATACGATATCCAATCCATTGCTTTGCATAGAGAAACAAAATATTAACTCTTTCCAGAAATTGAAAACCCATTCCTAGCCCTTCCAAACTAAAAACGGCCCCTATTACAAGACATTGAAATATGAAAGCTATACATTAAAATTTAAAAGAGGAGTATTTGGTAAGTGATTCCCATCTAAAATGATGAAACTCAATTCCTGTCAGCTCAGACAGGAGAGAAGACGACAAATGTCTTCCTCACGATTATCCAAGATTATCCAATAACCGACTCCAAATGATGGCTCCTTCTGTAAGGAAATATGGCTATTCTACTCTACTCCTACTAATAATGAACTCTCTTGTAGGCCATCCTGCAACTGAAGCTGCTATATGTCTGGGAGTCATTTATTATGGAATACACCATTTAAGTGCAACCACAGCTTTTAAGGGAAGTTGGAATGCAATAAGAGATGCCAATAGATTCTCCTTAATGTTTACTGGTCTATAGTTAATTAATTTGAGGTTTAGCCTTTTTAGGTATTTGAAATAAAAGCAACCTGGAAATTAAAACCACAAGTGGATTACCGAATGTCAATATTTTGCTAGACTCTGTTCTACATTCACCATTTCCTTCAACTTCTAAGAAACAATTGATAATACCATCCGACCAAGGGGTGTTGTAGAAGAAAAGAATTGATGGAGTTCTCCAAGTCAAATATGAAGATGGACTTCTTCACTGTCATTAAAATTGTCAGAGGTTTTCCTTGTGGATAGGCTAGCGTATCTCCTGCATTTGTTTTGTATAAAGTGTATTTAGATGGCTTTTCCCTTTGGTGGCCTATGATAGCATTTTTAGTTTAGTTTAATAAGGTTCCTGAACTCAAATATGGAGATGGTCAACTCAAAAGTTCTCCTAGTGATTTTGTTTACTCAGATTTGTTGTGTAGGTTATGGTTTTAGATGGTTCTGTCCTTTGGTGCCGGTAAAAGCATTTCTAGGTCAATCTTAGATTTGAAGTGGTTGCTCTAGCTTACAAGTTTGAAGGCTATTCATCTTTATATGGAGACAGCTTTCCTAGGGTGCTTTTCTGTCATCATTAATCATTAGATGGTATTTTAGTGATTTGCGTTCCATTCAAATTACAGAAGCACCATCTTTGACCACTTGGGAACTTTATTTCTTTAATTATCTTGTTCTGCTGCTCCTGCATTCGATTTCTCCGTGCATATTTGTAAGTTTAAATTGATGAAGGCTAACTGTGTTGTAGCATTTACTGGTAAATGTTTTAATTATATATGAATTGCTGTTTTACTAATTTCTTATTTTCTTTATAAGTTGATAAGATTCCTTTGGTTACTTAACCTAGTGCATTTGTGGGTCCAGGAAAAGCATGCCAGTGGAAGAAATTCTAACCATTGACATTAAGCCCGGCTGGAAGAAGGGGACGAAAATCACGTTCCCTGAGAAAGGGAATGAGCAGCCAAATGTTATCCCTGCAGACCTTGTATTCATCATTGATGAGAAACCACATGATGTTTTCACAAGGGATGGAAACGACCTAGTTGTCACACAGAAGATATCACTTGCCGAAGCCTTGACGGGTTACACTGTAAACTTAAAGACACTTGATGGTAGGAGCCTGAGCGTACCCATTAACAATGTGATCCACCCAAGTTATGAGGAGATCATCCCAAGAGAGGGAATGCCACTACAGAAGGACCCTTCAAAGAGGGGAAACTTGAGAATCAAGTTCAACATCAAGTTCCCTACGAGACTAACCTCTGAGCAGAAGGCTGGAGTCAAGAGACTGCTGAGTGCCTGAGTTGAGTCTGGCGGTTAAAAATTTGCAGGGGCGACACATGTGAATATTTTTCTCAGAAGGCTGTGTAGCTGGATATGTAGTTGGGTGCGGTTCAATATATTTGTAATTTAGTTGAGTATAAACTTCATTTTTTGATGGTCCAATTTATTTTTGTTAGATGTTTGTTTCCATATACTAGGCGATTGATTTTCTTGAGATGGAATATACATTGTAATTTATTTCAAGGTGAGAAAAAAAAAAGAACCTACTCAAAGTGATTGTCATTAGTTGATTTCTCTGTTTCTTGACCATTTTTGTCTAGGCCCACAAGGGTAGCCATTGTTTTTCTTGGTGGGGTCATATGGGATGTATGAGGACCCAGTTCGGATCCGTTGGCCACCTTCATCCAGGTTCCAGATGAGTTATTACATGGCAGTTATGCAGTAAGCTTTAGTAATATATATATATATTTAAATAATGGCCATAAGATAAAAAATGGTGAATACACATCGGTCACACAATCAAAGACCCCCCTTGTACCTGTACTTTGTTTTGCGACAAAGACCCTCTGTACCGTCAGACAAAGACTTTCCTTTCGTTGAAATCCACCGTTTCAATATTTTTTAATCGGAGAAAAATACTGTTTCTTGACTTCACGATACACAAACAGTAGTGGCGGTAACTGTTACAGCGGCGACAGACTTTCGAAGCCCTCCCACTCTCCCCCGATCTCTCTTCTTCTCCTTCCCCTTTCTTCTTCCCGGAGAAAAGCACAGCAGATATTGAGCACGAAACTCAGTCCCAACACCATTGTAGATGATCCAGTGATTGCCGCCGATGATGTTGTGGACGTCATAATAACTAAATAAAAAAGGCGGCTTCTTTCTATACCACCAGCAACCAACATTCTTCTTAACTTCATTTGTTGGTCAATCATCTCTGCTGCCCATTTGCCATTTGCTCCTTCTCCCCTCTTTCCTCTCTCTCTCTCTCTCTCTCATAAAAACTCCGAAATTCAGCTTCTCAATTGATCGAGCCATAAGGACAGAATTCTAGACTCGATAATGGAGGTGGTGATACCGGTACCACCCAGCGGCATGGATTTCAACTTCGACAGCGCCTGCTCTTCCCCCTACATCAGCGCTCCTTCCAACCCCAAACGTTTTGGTGAGTTCTTCAACGCTCCCACTAGTCCTACTAGGGCCACTGCAATCTATCATGGCTTCAACGACTTCTCCATCACCAGCGGCACCGGCGGTAGGGGTGGCTCTTCTTCGGTCATCCCAATTGATTGGGAACAGAAGAAGTCTGGAAAGTCAAAATCCAGCGACACCTAGAACGACGATGACGACTTCACCTTTGATTTCAGTGGTCAGTTAGAGATAGCATCACTCACCGCCGATGAACTCTTTGATAGAGGCGTCATTAAACCTTTAAAACTTCCTCCTCGGTTACAGTAGGTTCCTAGCGGAGTTGACGAGTTTGCTACTTGGAAGAAAGTTGTTTCGTCGCTGAGGTCCCCAAGATCACCTATCTCGAAGGGGAAAAGGATAATCCGTGAAGCGTTGTCCCCACAACACAAGTAAGACTTTGACTCGTTCGCAGCTGCAATAGAGCAAGCGCGTAAAGGATCAGAATGTGATCAAAGGAGAGAAAGATTCTCTAGTTCGACTTCCGGTCGTAGGGGTACCCGATCGCTGTCGCCTTTCAGAGTTTCTGCGTTTGCATGGGAAGAAAAAGAGCAACAGCAAAGCACCAAACCCACTTTGTCAAATTCAAAATCCTCTTCTACATCGTTGTTGTCTTTGAAGGGGAGCAAGAAATGGAGGCTGAAATATTTTCTGTTGTTTCGAAGCGCTTCAGAAGGTCGAGCGATAGACAATGATCCTTTTAGAAAATTCGTGGTTTTATCCAAGAAACAGAACGACGTAAAGAACTCGAGCTTCTGGTCAACCAACAGCTCCGGTTCGAGGAGAAGAGGGCTAGTTTCAGCTCACGAGTTGCATTACACGGCGAACCGGGCGGTATCTGAGGAGTTGAAGAAGACCTTGCCGTACAAACAAAGCTTTTTTAGGGAGAGAAAGGGAAAGGGGAAGAAGAGAGATCGGGGGAGAGAGAGGGAGGACTTTATAAGTCCGCCGCTGCTGTTCGTGTATCGTGAGGTCGAGGAAGGTCGGGGAAGATGAACATGTTATTCTCTGAATAGTTATTAGAAGGTTAATCTGTGGATCAAAAAATATTGCAACGTAGATTTCATAGTACAGGGGAGTCTTTGTAATAGACCCAGGGTCTTTGTAATTTATCTTATAGTTTAAAAAAAATGAAAATTGCCTGCTTTCTATGAGAACGTTTTAAAAAATGACTTAAAAATGGAACCATTCTGACCATCGATTTCGGGTTGATAGTCCAATCATCTGATTCAAACTGATGATCTATTCTAACAAATAAATTAAAAATAAAATAACGGTTAAAAACCATTGAACAGGTCAACGATTCGACCACCCAACTCAATAGGTTGTTGATTTTTTGAACGGCTTTTGGCCAAAAATCGGGTTTGGAGTAACGGAACCACTTACCTAGACGGTTTCCGGGCCAAATAGTCCAATCGTCCGGATCAACGGCGGTTCGAAAACCTTGTTGTATAGTTAAAAAACCTTATCGGAACCATAACCTGAACACCACCTAAAGTGATTTTTCACAAATCTCGACCTTATCCAACACTTCAATTCAGTTTATGACAAGTGTTTAATCACATGTGTTTCACAAATCTCGACCCTATCCAACACTTCAATTCAGTTAACGACAAGTGTTTAATCACGTGTTTCAAGCAGTAGGTACCCAAGTATTGTGATGTCTGTAATAGGACACCTGTTAGAACATGCAAATTTTCAAAAACTGCATGTAAAGATTGAAAATATTAATGTCATAATAATGATCAAATTCATGGACCAGGCCCAATGCAGATTTCTGAACTGCCCACTCATAAATTAACTGACACCTACCACAACTATACTTTGGGCTGACCCTGGACTGAACCGTCATTCTCCTAATTTTCTAAGGGGTGGGCACATAAGAAAACCAAAGGGCAAAGATGTTGAGATGGACATTCCCATTACAAAGGTCATCTTTATGCGAGAAGCTAGTATTATGCATCGGTACTGTCCTCACCATATGTAGTAATGAACAAAATCTGCGTACAACTGTGACGTCTATCGCCGTAGTGTGGAAAGCTATATTTCATTGAATTTTTGGAGGATCGCATCTTCAGATCTTCTGTGTTTACACTGATTTGCATTTACTCGATCAACTTCTTTTCTTTCTCTTTTTTTACACTGTGATTCCATCTTTTTATCCGCCCAGAAACATTACATATTAGGGCTACAGGATGGGCGCTACAACTCTTTAAATAAAAGAATGTAGGGCACTGATGTTGGACAACATTACTAATAAATCAACTAATGGAGCTTACATGAAAATTTTCTTAATCACTATATTCCGATGACGTAGAAACTGTGCCTTCGTCTTCATCCCCATTCCTCTCCCCGTCCCCGTCTACATTCCCCTCTCCATCTAAATCCCCCTCCATATCTCCATTCTCATCTTCTTCCACTTCATCTCCATCCATTTCTTCTCCTTCGTCCCCATCCCTATCTTCTTCCTCATCGTCATCCTCGTCTCCCTCTTCACTTTCAACATCCTCATCGCCTTCTACATCAGCATCAGTATCAGCATCAGCATCAGCATCAGCATCTTCCCCTTCCTCATCACCCTCAACATCATCCTCACTTTCCAACAATAAATCTTCAGACTTTCCATTAAAAATCCCACCGTAATCTGCTTCCCGGTCATCATATTCATCACCTGTTCCTTGACCGTTGACATCATATTCTGATGCTTCTGCACTATTACTATTGTCAGCCTCCTCCACATGCATCCTCCCGGTTTCCTCAAGATCCCAATCTCCCCCAACTAACCTTGGAGATTGCCCACCACTGTCCTGTTTGGTTCTGCTGGTGTGATTGAAACGACCCAATGTTTTCTCCTTCTCAACCACTCTCTTCTGTGTTCTTGGTCTGCTTCTTACTGTACGGCGACCCCGCCTACGCCCACGCCCACGTGTCCGACCTTTCCGCCCCAGACCTTGACCTGCTTTCTCAATGTTAAAAATAGACTCCTTGCACAACCGGGATCCACTGCCTCTCTGCCACCTCCCACCACGACTGCGACCTCGACCCCGACCCCTCCCACGGCCCCCACGTCCACGTCCAGAGCTTCTACGCTCACTGCCTGTGTTAAGCCAGTTTCCTTCTTGCATGTATTCACCATAGCCTGTAGCTTCTGTCGGTTCAACAACTTGGATATTTTTCACAACCGTGTATTTTGATGGAAGCTTCTGTTGAAGATGAAAGTGAATTTTATATTCAGTAAGGAATTCTATAAAAAAACAGTGGACATGATCTCAGCACATGGGATCTAACAAATGCAATTGTCTGGTTTTTAATGACCCAAAAAATATGCCCATCAGTGACCTTGATCAGTGAACACACTAGCTATTGTACGAGGCAGAAGCAGTGTTTTAAAAGCGCAAGGCGCAAAAAAGGCGCAGAGGTCAATTTGCACCTTAGGTGCAAAGCGCAAGGCGAGGCACGCACCTTTTTGAAGCAAGGCACAAAAATAAAAAAAATGCTAAAATATCAAAAAAATGTCAGAAAATTAAAAAAAAAGCCAATAAATCAAAAAATATTAAACATAATATTAATAAAAAATATAAACTTAAATTTTAAAATAAATGTTTTACAAAACCTATTATCTAAAATTAAAATACATAAATATAAGATGTAAAGAATACTCAAATGAGAATTTAAAAATAAAATCAAACATACAAAACATTTTCAAGCATGTAAAACCTCTAATCTCTTTTTTCACTTAATTGCATTACTTCACGTAGCTAATGTAATGTAAAACATATTATATTCCTGATTCTACGAGCCACCTTTGTGCCTTGCCCCTCGAGGCAAGCCCAAACAAGTCCATGTTAGATGTTAAATTCTTAGTTCACACAAAAAATAATGAATTTATAATTTTAATTGTTTTTTAAGAAAATATTTTATTAGGATGAAAGAATGAACAACATCAGCAAATAGGGGGTTCTCGTTCGCTTGCGTTAACACCTAACATGGACTTGTTTGGGTTAACACCTAACATGGACTTGTTTGGGCCTGCCCCATGCCTTGAGGGGTGTGGCATGGGGGTCCGGGGGGCAGAGCCCCCGGCCCATCCGCTATGTTCAAAAAAAAAACGCAAAAAATCATCAAATTTTCAAAAGGCGCACACCTGGGCTGAGGTGCAAGGTGCATCAGGCGCACGTCTAGGCGCACCAGGAATGTGCCTTTTGAAAGGGCTGTGCCTAGGACCTAGGCGAGGCGCATACCCGAAAATGCGCCTCGCCTGTGCGCCTAGGCACGCCTTCTAAATCACTGGGCAGAAGGCTATCATTCATGATCTTGTTGCTGCCTTGTGTGCCTTTCTATCAGTACGTGGCAACATTAAGACATCAATCATTATATATTAACGAAATTTTTTCTGTAAGTAGATTTTACCAAGATCATCTGAGAAAGTTACTCACAATGAATTCTCCATCTTCCTTGTCTTTACTGGACTCAGCTTTCTCATGCAATATGTAGGAGATCGATGCATCAAATTCCATAAGCCTTAATACTACAGCAGCAGTTGTTGAAGGTACCCATGGAAGTACAGCAACTGATTCAGGAGGTGAAGAATCAACAGCAGATCCTGATTGTGTAAAGGAACCTAACAGTTCCTTGGTTGTCTCAAAGTTTGATGATAAATAGTCCCTTCTTATAGCACCCTCCAATAGAGTCAATATCTGGATACATCATCAACCATTCTTAATAAAGAATGCAATTTAAGCCATTGTATAAGCATAAGCTCTGATATAGAATAACAATAACTTGCATAGGACATTTATACACATTAAGTGTCAATTCACCTAAGAGGTGCGTGCTTCCAAGACAAACAAAAGCACTGGAACATGGGTTAACTACCTAATATATTAAAAGAGGTCATTGTATACGGTAAAATTATGATTACCAGGATGACATGCCCTGAACATAGGCAGCCAGGCCACCTATAACCTATTACCCAATTCCTGCTCTCAGGAATCCAAGCAAGTACATGTAGGAAAACAGAAATAGATTATTAGTTTGCAACTTGGGCCAGGATCAATTGAAACATGACAGAGCACCTTTGATGTTTATGGGATTTTTATTGATTTCAAGAAATAATCTAGAGATAGAATTTTCAGACTAAAGGTTAGGCTTAATAGAGGAATCCAAGCCCAAGCTAAATGTGAAAGTTTGGAGATTAATCCAAACAGATGATACTTAGAAACTGGAAGCATCAAGTAGCTTAATTTCTATTTGCAAGGTGACGCCTAGGCGACAAGACGCCCTTTGTACTCTCTATTATGAAGTACATTTTTATTCTTTATTTTTTGAGATTATAATTATAAAATAGACATTATTAAACTAAAATATTCATTTTGTATGTTTATATACTAATTTCTTTTTTATTATTTTCTTATTAGTTAGGGTTTAATCAACACAAACATTGCTAAATTTTCTTTTAGCAAAAATAAGGGTTCAGCCCCTATATTTTTTGAATTTTCTTTTCCTTCTTTTGAATATGTTGATTTTCCATACTTTAACATGACCTTTATACTTTTCTTATGAAAATTATGAATAATTATTAAGGAAATATGGTTATAGAAAATCAAGATGATTTTACATAAAAAATCCATAGCCTAGGCTAGGCAACAAGGCGCACCCTGTCACCTAACCTTGCCTTGGTGCCTTTAAAACTATGCACATGATGTTTTTATATTTTTATTTTTATGTTATTAATAGTAGTATAATAGATATTATTAGAATAAATTGTTCATATTGTGGGTATATAAAACTAATTTTATTATTCTTATCCTAGTTTCTTTTTACTATTTTCTTTTTGGGTTCAATTGACACACAAGTCAGTGACATAGGGGCCATTTCATAACAACTAAAGTTTTTTTCTTCTTTTTTTTGAATAAGGTAAGGTAAATATCATTAAGAGAGAACCAGAATACATATTACAACAGGCCCCTCAACCAACATAACTGAGGCCCAAAACTAAGAATACATTATAAGTTAGATATCACCAACAATCAGCTGGGCTCCCAAAATCCTTGGTTGAACCCCTTTCACAGAAGCAGTCCAGGAGACTAACTTCCCAAAAGTAAAGGAAATTAGTTGATCCACTTCCCTATGCTTGTTCTGGAAGATTCTGCTGTTTCTTTCGGCCCAAATGGTACTGATTACTGCAATAGGAATGGAGGACCAAACACTTTTTGCTACCTTGGACAGTGCTCTTTAATCCCAACAGCACAAGAAATCACACACAGTCGCTGGCATAACCCAGTCGAGATGCCAGAAGGACAAGAAGTGGTTCCAGATTGTAGTGGAAACAGAGCAGTGCAGAAATAGGTGGTTACTATTTCTTCCACTTGATTACAGAACACACAGGGCAGGTCATGGAGCTGGATTCCTCCCCTCACCAGATTCTTTTTGGTGAAAACTTGTTCAAAGCCACAGCCTAGAGCAAAACATTTATCTTTGAAGGGACAACCTGATTCCAGACTTCTTCAGCAGGAAACTCAGCTTGAGGACCACTTGTAAGTTTCCTGGCAGGGTTAACAGAGAATACACCATCACTACTCCAATTCCAGTTCCAGGTGTCATCTTCAAGCAAATTCAGGTTCTGGTTGGACAACAATTCCAGCAGGTTAGACACAAGGTCCAGCTCCCAGTCCTGAAAGTGTCTTCTGAAAGAAGGGCACCAAACCTGGGTGTTGTCTCGAACCTCAGAGCAGTCAGCCACCAAGATATCTTGATTCTCTGCAATCTAGTACAACTGAGGAAATAACTCTCCTAATCCTAAAGACAAGCTTACCCTTTGTCCATTTCTCTGGTTAACCAAAAGATCCCTATTTATCAGAGGGAAGACTTCCATGATTTTCTTCCAGATGTACCCCAAAGAGGTCACAGAAGTAGTTATCACCCATTCCACACTGTCTGTGTTGATTTAGCTGCAACCAAGCTTCTCCACCAACTACCTCATTCTTTGCCAAATCACCAGTTTCATTTCCCCAGAAGAACCTTATTAAAGACCTTCATTTTCCTGACCCCGAGACCACCTATTCTTTTAGGGGCACAAACCTGATCCCAGCTAACCAAGTGAATCTTCTCCTCTTCCTACCCTTTCCAAAGGAAATCTCTTTGCAGCTCCACTTTTTGCGCCACTTTCCTTGGCATTGGGAAAAGAGACAGGAAGTAGGACAGATTTGATAAGGAACTTTTTAGAAGTGTAATCCTACCACCTAAGGAGAGATATTTTGATTTCCATGAACTTCTTTTCTAACCTCTCCAGCACCGGTTCCCACACTAAGGATGATGTGCATTTAGCTCCCAGAGGGAGCACTAGATAAATAGTTGGCAGGAAACCAACTTGACAGGCCAGGACCTCAGCTAAATCATCTATATTTTCTACTTTTCCCACTGGAATTAACCTGCTTTTGGCCCAGTTGACTTTCAGGCCTAAAACTACCTCAAACCAGCAAAGAACCCCGAAAATCACTCCCAACTGTTCCACATCAGCATCAATGAAACAGAGAGTATCATCAGCAAATTGGAGCAAAATGGAGCAATTCCCACCTGGTTCAGTATGGCTATTAATATTTCCATCACACAAATAAAAAGGAGAGGGGAGAGGGGATCTCCTTGCCGAAGACCTCTAGAACTCTTGAAGAAACCAGCCAACTGACCATTCAATAGGACTGAAAGACTTGTTTTGTTTTTTGGTTGATAACATAAACAAATAAATAAAACTTTCAAGGGTATAGTGTTCAGTCCAAGTTCAGTTCCAACCATCAAGGAACCCACAACGTCCTTAAAGTCTTATTCACTAAAAGACAAAACAATAAGCTTTTCAGTTCAGCACCTTCAGTTGTTATCAAACAGCCCCATAGTCTTTTTGAACTCTTTAAAACTTGAATTGATAAGTAAGAAAGTAACTTGAAGATTTTATACAATTGACACACAAGAACAATCAATAGGACATCATCATCATCATCATCCTCTTCCTATAACCAAAACAAGGGCTCACCCTTATTTTTTGTTTGTTTTCTTTCCTTTCTTATTTTTCTTCTCATAAATATGTTAGATTTCTATCTTTGGAAATGGGATTTATACATCTTTCATGAGGATTATGGTAATTATTAGTTAAAGATTACTGCTTCTAGGGAACTACCATAGGATTTTTTTTATTTTAAGAACTCATCACCTAGGCAACTAGGCAACAAGGCATTCCCCTATCGTAGCTTCACCTTGGCACTTTCAAAACTATGCTCCCATGAAACATCTTATTTCAGGTTTCAGTAACCTCAATGAAATGTATCTCATTTGTTTCAATTAGTTCACTCTGATGTATGTGGTCACTCTGATGTATGAGGTTTCAGTATTTGGTTACTTTCATCAGCGATCATTCTAGAATTAAATGGATTTATTCAATTAAAAAAAACCTTTCTAAGCTGTTTTCTGTATTAAATCTTTTTCTTGGATATCTGGTCTACCATATATGTTTTGCAATCAGATAATGCCAAAGAATACACTTTTCAGTCTTTCAGTAAATATTTGGATATAAACATAGGCTACTGCACCAACCTTTTTGCATGAAAGAACTCCTTAGCAAAATGATTTTTCTGAGAGGAACAAAATATAATCTCCTTGAATATGCACAAAAACTTGTGTTTAAAATGATTTTTCAAAAATATTTTTTGATAAGCATGATTTCCCAAAAAATGTTTACGGAACAAAATGCTTACAGCTCATTATCTGATTAATCAAACACCTTCTGTCTTACATGGTCAGATTCCACTACGATATCATTTTCCAATGTGCCTTTATTTTCTGTACCACCCTGTATTTTTGGTCATGTGTTATGTCAGCTTGATGCCAATACTAACCCAACCCAAGTTGTCAAACCCAAATCCTAATCCTAACTCAACCCATGACTTGGGGTGGGGTTGGTATCAAGTTGAGCAAATGACACACACACACACATGCATGTTTATACATATTTTTGCTTAAACAAACTCACTTTTCTAATTTAGTTTATCCAATCAAAGGTTTGGATAAAGAATTACCTCTCCCTTGGTGAAAGGACTACACTGATCAAGGCCATGCTAGCAAACTTACCCATTTATTTCCTTTCAGTGTTCAAAATTCCAGTAGGTTGGAGAGATTAATGAGAGACTTCCTTTGGGAACCGGGAGAGGAGAAGAGGGGCCATAGAGTTAGCTGGAAAGTGGTGACCAGGAGTAAAGCTTGCGGAGGTTTGGGGCTTGAGAACATCGGGAAAAGGAGCTCGGCCCTCTTGGGAAAGTGGTTGCGGAGGTTTCCTCTGAAGTAGGAGAAGCTATGGTCTAGAATAGTGGCAAGCATACATGGGATGGAGCAAAATAGATGGGATGCTGGAATCAAAGCAAGGACCACAAGCAATTCACCTTGGAAAGCCATTCATGATTTGCTTCTAGTCTTCTCCCCACTTGTCAAGTATGATTTGAATTCTAGCAATTACATAAAGTTCTGGGAACAAACTTGGGTGGGGAATGTTCCACTTAAGAACCAGTTTCCTTCTTTGTATGCTCTCTCTGACTTTAAAAATAAGCCAATTTCTTCTTTCATCACCCCTTCCTCTTACAGTCCTAGGTTTGGGTGGAACCTGGGTCTGAGGAGGGCTGTGAGGAACTCTGACTTCCACAGTATTTTGAGCCTC